TAAAACAAAACCAAATATGGTTCTTTGATTGATGAAAATAAAACTTTACTCCTTCAACTGAAAAATAACATTGTCAGAAGGTTAATGTGCTAATCAAGGCAAATTGGTTGTTTACCACAAATTATCATACTTGCTAAATGTAGAAATACATAAACATTGAAAAAGTGTAAAATTAAAACAGGTGTAAAATTGACTATCTAAATCATTTATTGACCAACTTAAAAATGACCAGATAAAAGTAAACCAAAACTATTGATATTGACTAAAAGGGAAAATTGAAATATACTAGTAACTGTGAGAGTCTGAGCATATAGATATCATTGAAATCCCTGTTGTTCTATGTCTTAGAGCCTTATGGTACCTAATGAGATTATAGATATTATTGAAATCCCTGTTGTTCTATGTCTTAAAGCCTTATGGTACCTAATGAGATTATAGATATCATTGAAATCCCTGTTGTTCTATGTCTTAAAGCCTTATGGTACCTAGTGAGATTATAGATATCATTGAAATCCCTGTTGTTCTGTGTCTAAAAGCCCTGTGGTACTAGTGAGATTATAGATATCATTGAAATCCTGTTGTTCTATGTCTGAAAGCCTTGTGGTACCTTGTGAGAGTATAGATATCATTGAAATTCCTGTTGTTCTATGTCTGAAAGCCTTGTGGTACCTTGTGAGATTATAGATATCATTGAAATTCCTGTTGTTCTATGTCTGAAAGCCTTGTGGTACTTGTGAGATTATAGATATCATTGAAATTCCTGTTGTTCTATGTCTGAAAGCCTTGTGTTACCTAGTGAGATTATAGACATAATTTAAATTCCTGCTGTTCTATGTCTGAAAGCTTTGTGGTAACTTGTGAGATTATAGATATCATTGAAATCTCTGTTGTTCTATGTCTGAAAGCCTTGTGGTACCTGATGAGACTATAGATATCATTGAAATCCCTGTTGTTCTATATCTTCGAACCTTGCGGTACCTAATGAGATTGTAGATATCATTGAAATCCTGTTGTTCTATATCTGAAAGCATTGTGGTACCTAATGAGATTATAGATATCATTGAAATCCCTGTTGTTCTGTGTTTTAAAGCCTTGTGATACCTTGTGAGATTATAGATATCATTGAAATCCTGTTGTTCTATGCATGAAAGCCTTTTGGTACCAAGTGAGAGAATAGATATCATTGAGATCCCTGTTGTTCTATGTCTGAAAGTATATGGTACCAAGTGAGAGAATAGATATCATTGAAATCCCTGTTGTTCTGTGTCTGAAAGTATATGGTACCAAGTGAGAGAATAGATATCATTGAAATCCTGTTGTTCTGTGTCAGAAAGCCTTGTGGTACCTTGTGAGATTATAGATATCATTGAAATCCCTGTTGTTTTATGTCTGAAAGCCTTGTGTTACCTAGTGAGATTATAGACATAATTTAAATTCCTGCTGTTCTATATCTGAAAGCTTTGTGGTAACTTGTGAAATTATAGATTTCATTGAAATCTCTGTTGTTCTATGTCTGAAAGCCTTGTGGTACCTGATGAGACTATAGATATCATTGAAATCCCTGTTGTTCTATATCTTCAAGCCTTGCGGTACCTAATGAGATTATAGATATCATTGAAATCCTGTTGTTCTATATCTGAAAGCATTGTGGTACCTAATGAGATTATAGATATCATTGAAATTCATGTTGTTCTGTGTCTTAAAGCCTTGTGGTACCTAGTGATATCATAGATATCATTGAAATCCCTTTTGTTCTATGTCTGAAAGCCTTGTGGTACCTAGTGAGATTATAGATATCATTGAAATTCCTAATGTTCTATATCTGAAAGCCTTGTGTTACCTTGTGAGAGTATAGATATCATTGAAATTCCTGGTGTTCTACGTCTGAAAGCCTTGTGGTACCTAGTGTTAGAAAAGATATCATTGAAATCCCTGGTGTTCTGTGTCTGAAAGCCTTGTGGTACCTAGTGAGATTATAGATATCATTGAAATTCCTGTTGTTCTATGTCTGAAAGCCTTATGGTACCTAGTGAGATTATAGATATCATTGAAATTCTGTTGTTCTATGTCTGGAAGCCTTTTGGTACCAAGTGAGAGAATAGATATTATTGAAATTCCTGCTGTTCTAAGTCTGAAACCTTTGTGGTACCTAGTGAGAGTATAGATTTTATTGAAATTCCTGCTGTTCTAAGTCTGAAACCTTTGTGGTACCAAGTGAGAGTATAGATATCATTGGAATTCCTGCTGTTCTAAGTCTAAAACCCTTGTGGTACCTAGTGAGAGTATAGATATCTTTGAAATCCCTGTTGTTTTATGTCTGAGAGCCTTATGGTACAGAAAGTAATAAGTGACAAACTGGGTATGCTTGACTGATTATGACAGAATAATGGGTTGAAATACTTTGAAATCAAAGTCTTACTACATGTATCGCAAAACTTAACAATCATTAATGAACTTTGAAAATGAGATTAAGTTCAGATGTACCCTTAATCAGATAGACTTGTACTCCTTACAATGATTCTATACAAATCTTAAAAATCTATCAAAATAAAAGGACATAATCAACTTTAACAAACATACCACAACATGATAACATATGGGTTATTACTTGATTAACAGCATACTTTTCTAGTACTGCTGTATTTGATGATCTGCTTTCTCAATTTTATCTACTTTGGGATTATTATTTTTCTACATTTTTTGGAATTGTTTTGACTTAGCACATTTGTTATTACTTTTTTCCTCTATTATTTTTCACAAAGATTATGTCATGTTGTTTCTGAAGTATATGCTAAAAATTACAGTTGATAAAAAAAAATAGTACAACACAATTAGTAAAAACTTTACATTGGAAAAAAGCGGTAGACAATAGAAAGAAAATGTGTTCTAAGCAGTGAACTACAACCATGTAATTTGTGCAGTTGATGTAGATTTCTTTTAACTGACAACTTTATTTGCATTTCTTTGACAGGTCTTTGTTCGTAAATTGTCTGTTTTATGTGGAAATCAGAGAGCTCTAATCTTTAAGCAAAAATTGCTATTTCAGATTACCAATACATGAAAGGATGAAGTTATTAAAAGGCATTTAAAGCTTGTTTTCTATTTCAAAAACTTAAAATACTATATAATATTAGAAAATAATCCTAGCATATGTTTGCTAAGTAGCAATCAAATAAAGAATTATCAAAATATTTTAGGTTCCTTTCCTCAAATTTCAAGGTTTAAAATGTTTAAAGTGCCATTTTATTAGCATTTTATGAATTTTGAAACTTAACAGCAATTCTCAGAAGAACTGAAGTCATATAATTTTTCAAATCCTCATAATCTAAAATTTACAAAATGCCATATACGCATAAAACACAATTATTGAACAAAAACAATATAAAATTGCAGTCTCTAGCCCAATAATATGAATCGTATATAACAATTATATTCTTCTTAATGTCAACTTCAATCTTAGTCACCATATAATTTCTTCTAAGTTTGTAATAATTCTTCTGCAATTATGTAAAAGTTAAATACAGCTCCACAACTGATTAACTCCATAATTATAACCATTTGAAAAACATATCAGCAACTGGGATAATGGCCAAACTATGTCATTTTATTAAAAATCACAAAAAATTTGAATATCTGAAAGTACTGCTTTAATGCTTCAATATATATCAAATTTCTGGCTTTCTGTCAATTCAGCCATTAGACAACTAATCATTCTATAAAATTAAGGATATTAACTTTTGGGACAAAAACAGGAAAATCAAACAAAAATATTTTTATGTCTGTTTTTGATTGCTGAAAATGTTTGATTTAAAAGTTCATTAATTTTCTGTCATAAACTCATTACAATTTAAGATCTTTTTAGTTGGATTTCCATGGAAACTTATCATTAAGTTAAAATGCCAGACAATTTTGACATTTCTCAAATAAGTCAAGTCGATTGTTGACAACTATCCCACTCAATAGTCTCGGTCAAATATTTTTCTTTACAATTTGATTTGAAAAATTCCATGCTAAAACCCATTCTATTGAGAACTATGTTACATACAAGTATGGTGCCAAAACCACTTATGGTTCTTTTTCTCTATAGCAGAGTTTTTTCAATCAAAATTAAATTGCTGCCTAATCAATCATCATATGAAATGTAGAAATGATTTTTTCGCCATCAAATCCTCTTTAACTGATAAAACCATTATTCCAAAAACACAAAATCATTTCTTGGGCCCTTGAGTCTTAAAAACCCTATCAAACAATACAAAAGCGGCTTTAAATCAAAAACACTTAAATTCTTGGATCTATAAAAACAAAAGGATTTTCAGAAACAATCATCCCATCCGCTAGAACAGACTTAAAATTCCTGACCGGAATTGTAACGAAGTCATCAATGTGACGGACATATAAAAAAACCTTTCAAAGACCATGAATCAAAAAACTGTTTCTACAGACAATGTTATTTGAAGTATTTGCTAGCAGACAAATCTCCAAAAGAAGCAGGAAATTCAAATATTGTGTCGTCTGCTAGGAACATTAAAACAATAAACATAAGTGACATGACTTGAGTCTTCCACTCTTTTATTCATCATCATTTAATGTTTTGTCAAATGCTTATGTTTTTTGGAAATTATTCAAACTCTTACATCTGGCTAGCACATTCTAATTTTCTTCACTACATTTTTATGTTGACGAAAAGACAAGAGAACAAAGTAATGTTTTTGATGTTTCAGCACTTATTCTAGGCAAATGACTTCAATCTTTGTTGTGTTGGGGACAAAAATACAATTAAGAAGAGAAGTAAAACTTTTGCATTCCAAATAAATAAAACATGAAAATTTCATACATTGCTTTACAACAATCATGATTTAGCATATATCATAAATCCATGTGCTTGACCTTTTAACAAAATAGGACTAAACTGTTAACCTACAAATTAATTGGAAAATCACTACTAGAGTAAGCTTAAAACTAACAGAAAGTACTGTTGCTGTTGCATTGGGTAACCTTACCCTATATTTCTTCTTTCATCTGACATGTAGCTGCCATATCTGGAACTGTACAATATGTTTAAACAGAATTAGTCTCTGATTACAAAGTTCTCCTCCCTATATTTCCTGATATAAACCTTATTTAGTAATAAAACAATTATCAAGGTAGAATAGAACTTCATAGATAAAAGAAACTAAATGTGATCCAAATAACAAATTATATATTCAACTACATACAATTCATTGAACTCTAAAATATAGGTCATAGTGACTATTAATACAGGATAATTTAAATTAATATGTTTTAAAGTATCCGTACACTAAGTTATAGGATAGTAAGTCACTAAGTATCCAATATCTGAAAGACTTAAAATGTAATTGAAGTCAATGTGGAAATATATAGGTCAGGCTGACCTACTTTATGGGAAGCTGCTATAGCACCAAAGATGTATCCTTACATAGATTTTGACTGCAGGTCATATATGGTATTGGAATTCTGAACTCTGAAACAAAATTTAATCAAAGTCAATGAGACGTGAAATATAGGTTAGCATGACCTTATTTTTGTTGAACGTTGGAAACCCCTCAAGAGTATAAACCTAAGTAATATGTTTGTAGGTCACTCTGTATCTAACCTCTGAACTCAAGTAGAACTAAGATCCAACAAACTACTAACTGCCAAGCACACTACCAGAGGTCTACTAAGGTAGTCATTTGCATACCAAGTCTGTGTCAAATCAGTGAAGTAAATTGATAAAACTTTCATGGCAGAGTTATACAGAAATAGCCACAGCGTGCAATTTTCTATGTTAAATCAATTTACAACTTTTCTGGACTTCGCCTGACTTTTGTATGGACATGTGTCTCTTGTTGAAGACATTTACATTAACTTCTGAATGTTTTAATTTTTTGTGCTGTTGGGATGCTGTCAAATACCCCAGATGTTCTTTTATTCATAATAATCAACATGCAGAATAACAACCTCTTATGTTAAAATGTTGTTTTATAAAATGGAAGTCCACTGTTCAAATGATATTTGACAATTGTCCTCACAGTTTGCAGCTGGACTCTTGATAACAGAAAAACAGTATAATTGTTTCACAAAAAGAAGAAAGATAAAAGCTTCTGAAACCTGAAGTCTACTCATCCATGGAATATTAGACTTAAATCAATAAATATTTAGTTCTGTGAAGCACTCAGTAAACAATTTAATGTAAATTATTCATTTTTAATCCTTAAAGTCATTAAAACTTCATAATAATGGGATATTTCATAGTCAAATAATTTGAATTTTCCCAAAAATATTTATTGAAAGTTTATTCTTTTGATTAAATTTAAAATTCAATTTTAACAGAATCTAAATTAATTTCAATATCCAGATAAAGAACATCTGACAATTTCAATTTGCATTTTTTCAATTTGTCACAAATTTTATTTATGATATTTTCTAATTCATCAATAATATAAATTGAAAATTAATTTTGTAACAACTGCTTCTTTAGATACAACATTTGGTCAAAAACGTGCTAAAATTAAAGTTTTTAACAATGACCTTCAACAATCAATAGCTAAGAAAAGCTGTTAAAACTATTGACAGATTTTGTGAACGTGAATGCTAACTTTAATCCTTTTATCCCATTAAAGGTGATTCAACTACTGCATGTAATATATTAACACATTTATTTATATTTATTTTATTAATAAAAACAACATATTCACATCTTAGTTAAAATGAACCTTGAAATGATGGGTAAAGAACTTTTATGGTGATACTTGTCATTTTTTTGGTCATTTTTCTTTGAAGGGAGTGACTAACGGCTTTTAAAAACATATTTTATGTTTAAAAGTTCGGAAGGATGAAAAAATTCATGGTGACAGTTTTAGCCCCAGGAAAACAAATTTTGTTGACACTTGGGAAATCATTTTTAGTTTTTGACAATTTTTTGTACAATATTTTTTATTACATTTTTAGAGTCTCAACCATAAAATCAGTAAAAACAAAAGAGGTCACTGCATAATCATCTGTGGTAGACAAAAATTTATTATTGACACTTAATGACCACTGTCCAGTGATGGTCATTTATGACATATTATGACCATTTGTTTTATGGAATAAAAAAATTCAGGTAGGTCATTTGTCATATGGTAATGGATTTTATTTGTGAAACATGACAAGTATTGTAACTTTATTTTCTTTTTACATTATAATATTCTTCAGAAATAAAAAGTGATTGTCTTTACAAAAGTTGTCACAACAAATATACAATGTATTACAAATAAATAAACATAAATATAAAACCATCTCACCTCTAAGTTTGTATTGACTTATTTTAAACATAATTAAAAAATTCTGAAGTTTTTTAAATGGTAAGTTTCAAGGGTTTAACATTATAACCATATTTACTGGCTATGAGGACAATAGCAAGTTACAAAGTCTTAAATATGCAACTAACTCACTCACCTGACAAAATACGCAACATTAAAAGCAAAAGCAACTTTAGCAGCAATCTTTATTAGACTATAAGGTAAGATTGTAACCAAGTTTAATTCAGGTTCAGTTGGAGATTTTTTTAAATGGTCGTCATTTAAGGACAAAAACCCTAATAAGGAGTCACTTGACAATTCCATATCACTTAATAAGGAGTCACTTGACAATTCCACATCACTTAATAAGGAGTCACTTGACAATTCCACATCACCTAATAAGGAGTCACTTGACAATTCCACATCACTTAAAAAAAATCATCATTTATGGCCAATAACTCCTGTTAGAGTCCATTTACAATTTTGTTTAAATGACTTTTTTGGCAGTTTTTTCTCCACCTCGTATAATTTTTGAGTTATAAACAAAAACATATGCTAACCCCTCTATTCTATTTTTAGCAACAGCAGCTATATATATATATAAATCATTTCAATAAGAAGATGTGGTATGATTGCCAATGAGACAACTATCCACCAAAGTCCAAATGAAGTGGATGTAAGCAATTATAAGCAACTGTAGGGCCTTCAACAATGAGAAAAACCCATACTGTATAATCAGCTATAAAAGGCCCTGACATGAAAAATATGAAACATTTCAATTGAGAAAACTAAGGGCCTAATTTATATCAAAACAATTTACAATATGAGAGACATGAACCAACAACAATCACTACAGTCTCCTGACTTGGGGTGCAATCAACAGTTTTTTTCTATGACGTCATATTTTAAGGGACCATGCCTAAGTGACCCTTAGTGGTGGAATGATTAATAAAGATACTTGTATAAAACTAGATATCACTGGAATCATAATTTTCTCTTGTTTATATTGAAATAAAAATATAGTGTACTTTAAATATAGTTAAAAAGTTCTATCCAGAGAAAATGGGGAAAAAGTTGCCTAATCTGAACATAAAAAACCTGAAATCAGGTCATGTGCATACCCATGTAAACATGATACAGGCACATTCTTAATCAAAACTGTATGAAATTCATAGGTTTTTACCTGCCCTTTAATAAATATCTTGTTTCAGGGTATGGCTTCCTGCTTCGAAAAGAGCTACAGTGGCTACAAATAAGTTTTCAATTTTCACTGCCAAAAAAACAGGATGTTTACAGTGTTGTCTCCCCTCAAAACATGTATATTTAATCTAATTTTTAAAATTATTTTAATCATTCAACCTGTTTAAATTGAAAGCTAATTAACTATTTTTTACAATCAAATACAAAAAACATGATACTTTTTCACCAATTATATGAATAAAAAGGGATTTCCCTCCATGGTTATTTTTAGTCGGGGAATAACCCCTAGTTTTTTTATACGAAACTGTTTATAGCACCCTTTGGACAGGCACATAAAAAATGTGGTGGATTTAAACATGTTCATGAGCACTCAACCCTCCCCTAACCTGGGACAGTCTTATCACAGCACAACATAAGAACGAACTATAAAAATTAGTTTAAAAGGGCTTCACTCATCAGATCAACAAAGCAGAAAAACATCTAACAAAATCACAGACCCGACATGGCAGGGTTTTTATACAACAACAACAAAAAAGACACAATGTTTCTTGATTGATCAAACAGTTTAACTCTTAGATTAAATTTAAAGTCTAAATTCCCAAGAAATAGCTAGGTAAAGTTTGTTAACACTCAGCCCCGTAATTTTAGAGAAAACATTTGTTTAAATATTAAAGCTAGATGACAACACAGAACAACTATGAATGACCCACACTTGGTGATGGCAAAAGCTCAAATGGACCTATTGGTCCAGGTTAGCTACTAAAAGGGTGTCAAACTCCAGCAATAAGTTAAAAATAAAAACCAGACAGACAGACACAGCTGTCACCCGAAGCAGAATGAAATACTTTGGCCACATAAAAAGGAAATAAGAAATGTTCAACTACTTTGAGAGGGATATCTAACAACAGGATAAACTGATTATTGAAAAGTGTTGTCAGCAAATCTAGTTGTGGTCTGACTTCTAATTGAAGTGTTAGCTTACTCTAACCCCCAAGTGAATAGTCCTATTAAATCCAATCAAAAGTGAATTTTGTCAAAATGCTTCCTACCTCTTGACTTAGTTTGCAATTTATATCAAGTCTTTGACAAACAATAGAACATTAAAACAAATTTACGATAAAAACCTCTTTGAAAATGGCATCATCGCTCTTGAAATATAAAATGTCAACATACTGATCCTAACGTATTTATGAAAACTACAAGATTTTGCAATTTTAATAAGTGTACCATTAATCTGAACTATTCACATTAAATCACTTTAGAAAAACAGGAAATATTATTGATTTTAATTCCTCCAAGTCTGATTTTAGAAAAACAAAAAAAAACTTAATGAGTTGCCATGAGCAACATCACTTGACCAAGAGACAGAATTTTTCAAATAACCTAACTAACAATATTAAAGATATTAAATAGAGAAATTAAATTTGACAGATAACTCAGAAAATTTGCTGCTAATCAATACATGGTCCATATGAAATTGACATCATTTGTGTTTATTTCAAATGGAAATATGAAAATATGATATTTTGATTCCAGAAATAAATTTCATAGCCTAAGAGGTTAAACAAAACAATGGAAAATAATGACAAAATTGCTATCGATTTTTCAACATAAAAACAAGTCTTTATGACTTAAAATTAAAACAGTTGTTCAGGAAGCCAATAGATCAAAATTGGAAAATTTAAATTGCCTTATAGCTTATTTCAAAACAAGTTAAGAACAGTCTGGAATCTTCAAAGGAGAAAAGGAAAAAAGACAATAAATTTGATGCTTCAAGGAGTGTATAATGGTCACATAACATCTTTGCTTAATATTGACTCAGTCTGACTACCCATTTTAAGTACTAGGTTTTTAATGCCAGACAGCAACAGTAGATGAAACAATAAACCCTTTAAAGATATGTATTGTTGTTCCAGAGGGTTTGAAGTACATGATCCTATGTGGTCATGAGGTCTTTTGTAAAATTATGTTCCACGTTGGTGGCCATATTGAATGCAAGGGAGTCAATGAACATAATTTTAAGAGTTGATCATATAAGCATCATTCCTGTAGAAACCTTATCAATTACAATGGCAATATGTACACATCTCAAACATACATAAATGGAACCATCATAGGAGTGGTTTCCCTACATCCCATCATTTAAACTACTCTGGATTTAGAACCAGTAATCTGACATAGATGAAATAAATAGGGAATGTGTCCATGGAACACAGATGATGCTCCTGCTTGACATAGCTGAAGAACGGTAAAAGTGACGCTACCCAAATTTGTACTTGATCTGAGTATTGTTTATAAGTTTCATAACATTTGGTTGAGGCAAACATAAGTTAGAAAACGGAAACGAAAAAAATTCGGCAATTTTTCCATTTGTAAAGGGGCATAACTCTAGAATAGTAAAAGTGACACCACCAAAATTCAAACTTGATCTGTATTTTGTGGTAATAAGCATTGTGTATAAGTTTCATAACAATTGGTTGAGGCTAACTTAAGTTCGAGAATGGAAAAGAAAAATTCAGCAATGTTTCCATTTGTAAATGGACATAACTCTAGAACAGTTAAAGTGACACCACCAAAATTCAAACTTGATCTGTATTTTGTGGTAATAAGCATTGTGTATAAGTTTCACAACCTTTGGTTGAGGCAAACTAAAGTTAGAGAACACAAACCAACTTTGGGACGTAGGGACGAACAAGGGTAAAACTTAATGCCCCTCCGCTATGGCGGGGGCATAAAAAGATGGGGTCACTGATAATATTATTTTTTAATATTCCTTCCAGGACAAGTTCAAATAGGTCAAATCAATTAATCAGAATTTTTAATAAAAGTTTGTTTGTGACACATAAAATTTATATGTCTTTCTTGGTTCCTCCAAGTCTGCACTACAAAGGACAGAAACTGAAAAAAAATATCTGATCTACAAAACTGTGCATGCTATGAAGCATTTCTGTCCAGTTTTGCTCAAGTCCAATCAATTTTAATGTTCCTTTAGAAAGGTTATATTAACTTGCTAAGAGTCTATCTAGACTTTTGCTAAGTGATGCTTTAAACTGTTATTACATGCAAATAGTAAGCAGAGATGAGAGATCTCTGATTTAAATGAAATCTTAGAACAAACAATTTACCTTATAAATATATGCTCACTCCAAATTCTACTGTGCAGTTATGCTGCCTTAGTCTTTTGAAAAGTTCTGAAATCAAAATTATTTGAGACTACAACATGTACAACCAATATCTTGTACAAAAATGTGATAGGCAACAAGAGAAAGCAATATACCACTTTGGAGTTATGTCCTTCACCAGAAAAGTTGGATAATTATGCATGACTTTATGACGTCCTTTACCAGATAGAGGGGACCGCCTGTATCCCTGCACTATTAAAGTTCATCAAGCGTCTTTGTGATCTTCATCATGCAGGATAAACTAGAAATAATGTTTATTCCGTAGGTACTTACTCGCAATTCCCTAATGACAGCAGTGCTAATAATCAATAATTAGAATTTAATTTGCCAAATAATTTCGTGCAATATAGCATCATATTTTTTTCAACCGCTCGTTCAATATGGGAAGGAAGTGACGATGCCCCTAAACACACAAATGATGTTCATTAAAACCAAAGTTTTTGATGGAAATGCAACGAACTCGAAAGTGGTCTTTTGCATTCATGAAGATTTGATATATTTTTAGAATGAACCATCGATAGGGAAATAATTGATTGTTGCTTGCTTAATGTCCAGTAGCATTAGGATGATGGTTGGTCTAAAGGGGTCTCTCAAAATCAAGCTACACCTGAGAGGATTTGTGTACAGGGAAGGGCCTATCAGATTATACTAGAACTCAGGCAGACATAAACTTGTGCAAAGTTGATTTTGATTAAACTGATTTTTTAAACCATTTTAAATCTAAATTAAAATATTGATTTTGCTTTAAACCTTGATATAATTTCCTGTTATAACAATTATGAAAACTGAACAGATTTAATTCATTATGAGTAAGAGGAGATGTGGGATAAACCTTCAACAAGGACAGCAAGATAACAATACAGAGTAACCAAAATGAAATCTGGAGGCCAACTAGCATTCAAAGACTTTATAAGTATACACACAAATCCTGTGGTCCATTCATATAGTAATAACCTATACATGATATTCCAATTAGTGCTTTTCCTGGGGAAAGTTGACATCAGAAATCAAATATCTTTACATCACAATGTCCCATGAGTCATTTCCCAGCCCCCACCCCCCAAATTGATCCCTAGTCAACAGGAGCAATTCATTCATAAAATGGAAATTGGAATATCCTGTATTGACATCACCCATAAGAAATCCCTTATACAAACAGCAGTTTGTCAGCTTCCTTCATTTTTCAACACAAAGACATTCAAAGCTATAATGTTGCACTTCCTGTCTTAACCAATAAACCTATATTCTTCTATCAAATTGCTCCAAATTTATTTAATTGAACATTAATACATTAATTTTAACCTTCAAAGTGCCTCATTAAAAACTGAATGCTTTGATTCCAACGTTTATATTTTGGGATTATGGTTTGACCTTTCTGCTTTAAATCAGTTAAAAGAAGCTGCCGACTTTCTGGCAATTTCAAGATTTAAAATCTTTAGAAATTTAATCAAAAGTTTCTTCTTTTAATTACAAATTTATGAAGTTTCAAGTTAATAAAAGAAAATAAAGTCTAAAAACATATGTAGATAATTATATGTAGATGAATTCAATTAATTTGTAGGGACATCAAAGGGTGCAATGGATTTGATACTTACACAAAGGTGTTAATTTCATTTCTGAACATATGTTTTAATGTTTCACCAATTCCCTGAAAGAGAAAATTAAAAATAAACATCATTACTGAGTTGAAGCAAAACAAATAACTTCAGAAATTTCATTAAATGAAAGTTTGGGATTTTGACAAGTCATCAAAGATAGATAGATTTAATGGTAGTTGGTACACTGAAAAACTAAATTATAAGACAAAATTTAATCTTATAACTAAAATACTATATATTAATGGTTTTCATTTTTTAAAGTGCTTTTTATGTTGTTTTTAGATGCAAATCACATCGCTGTACATTGCAAGAATAGCACAGCGAGGCCAAAATGTTTTGAAATATTTTGCCCACTTTAATGAAAAATAACTATGTTTTGACATTTTTTTGTCAAATCTGGGGACACAATAAACCCTCCTTTCCTCTATTGCTAGTTCAATCTTGCAGTTCAATTTTCTATATCTTTTGTAATTTTTACTAACTGGTAAAATTACAGGTTCACATCTTTTGGTGATCCTTTAACTCGTTAATTTTTTTAAAAGAACACTGAGATTGTGATGACTGACATGTACTCTCCATTACACTATGTGAGATGGACGGGCAAATACATGTAGGGTTAAAACTAATACAGGATCCAGGGGAAATTGGACAAAAAATATTTTTTTAAACCGGTTAAAATTTTGGCAAGTCTGATTTCTGGACCATTTTAAGGCATATATCTTAATTTCAGACTGAAAAAAATACAAGAAAATACATGAATACTTACATGTACTAAAACTGTATTGTTATACATTAGGCAGTTACTATTCTTGTTTGAATTGTATTACATTTTTCTGGTCATGGCCTTTTAAAGCTGACTACATGTATATGGTATGGGTTTTTCTCATTGTTGAAGGCTGTACAGTGAATTGCTTTAAATACTTCCACGTAATTTGAACTCTGGTGGATAGTTGTCTCATTGGTAGTCATACCACATATATCCTTATTTCTATATTTAATCTATCTAAGTATAATCTTATGTAAAGTATTGTGAAAACTCCAAAACTTTGTATAGGAATTACCAAATCCAATGATGTTTATTATAAATGCAATTAAAATATCTAACAAATAGATGTGCATATTAAGATATTGACTGATCAAATTGTGTTACATTTGCTTGCACTAAAGTCCTGTATGTTAAATAAATGGGCATCTTCTGTGGCATAAATCTTGATGTTAGACCAATTGATAGATTGATGTGTGTTTAACACCCTATCAGTGCAAAAGGCTTAGTATATTGCAGCAATATAAGGACCAAAACACATCAGATTGTATTGGATGAATCTTTAGCAATCAATGTTTTTTCATGAATATCATATTTTAATTTTCTTTCCACAATTATGAATTGCCTACAGAATCTTCAGACAAGCAATCATGAAATGACTGTACTTTCAACGAAAGTGAACAAACAAAATTTGCCCACCTATCAACAAAATTATTCTTACAGGTGTAACTGTAAGCCCTTTTATATCTTTTCAATGGGATGTATAAATATCTTCTAAATTAAGAAACCCCAAGAGTGACTGGAGAATAGAAATATGGTCTTCTTCTAACCGGCAGTAAAACCCATGCCAAAGTGGGGCTTTAGTTTGGTTGTGTGGGATATATAAATTCTTAGCCACATTCAGTCAGAATGTGGACATTAAATCCAATTCCTCCTGTAGGGAGTGTTACACACTGCACATTAAGAACCCTTAAGAATCCTTGGACACAATATTCAAGCTTGATACAGGTCTGAATTTGGATTTATAATATTTGACACATTATAAGTTTCTGACACAGAATAAATGTAGTCAAAGAACTTGAAATTGGTTATATGATTTGAATTTATATTCAATTGAAGATTTGCGGTCGTATAAAAATATTGCACAGTGGTACCATGGTGTTATCTGAACAGATTTCATAACAGAGTCTGTTGTAAATGTGATGCTAAGGTAAATAAATGGGGAATGTGTCCATGTGTGCAGATGATGCCTCCGCTTGCATATCATATAAATTCTTGCTGTTGTGCAATACACTGTGCTGTTGCGCAATACTTAGTAAATCTGTTTTCAGACTACCGTAATCGGGCTTGTATAGTTTGCACTGGTACATAGTCCGCACCATGAAATTTCAGGTAAAAAAACTTTTTGTAACTGTTAGAAAAGGTCTAATGAAACTCCGGTAATTTTAAATCGTGTGTGGTCGTTTGCGGTATTTTCTTGGAAAAACCTATTTTCCATCACCACACAGAAGCTGAAACTGCTTGTAAATGGTTCTAAAACACTTCACGCTTGTTAAAATAAGTCTAAATCACAAAAAAAACAATTTAGAAACTTGTGTATGTTTAAACCGGAAGTTCGAAAAGCCAGTGTAAAAGATGAAAAAACCCGGTGGAGTCGAAATCCGTACATAATAGATATCACTATAATACGACTTTGAAAGTAAAACAGTTCCCTCCTTATGTTAAACAATGTTTAATATATCTATCACATTAATGTTTGAAGGGTCCTAAGCTAATACAAAACATATTTGTCAATAGGAAACACCAAAACGGAACGAATAATAACCAATTACGTTTTGTAGTTTACACATCGTAAGCTGGTTACGGTTGTCTTTTTTTACTTTTTTTGTAAGATTTCATCCAAGCAGATACCAGTTTATATTTAGCAATGCATTGAAAAGAAATAATATTTGCAGAAATTTTCTTTCTTTTTGTAAAATGTGGTACAATTTAAGAGACATCCTTACACTTAAACACAAGTGATTGTCTGAAAACTAAAAAATTGCTTGTTTTGGCCCCTAATTCCTGAACAGTTTGGCCAATTACCCCCAAAATGAATCCCAACCTTCTACTTGTGGTATTGAACCTTGTGGTACAATTTCAGAGCAATCAAATTACTTATACACAAGTTATTGCCCTGAAACTAAAAAAATGCTTTTGGGACCCTTTTTGGCCCCTAATTCCTAAACGGTTGGGACCATCACACCCAAAAACAATCCCAACCTTCCTTTTGTAGTATTGAACCTTTTGATTAAATTTCATAGAGATCCATACACTTAAACTAAAGTTATTGTCCAGAAACCAAATGTCTTCCGACGACAACGATGACGTGATAGCATTATACAATGCAATTTTTTTGCGGTCGTATAAAAATATTGCACAGTGGTACCATGGTGTTATCTGAACAGATTTCATAACAGAGTCTGTTGTAAATGTGATGCTAAGGTAAATAAATGGGGAATGTGTCCATGTGTCCAGATGATGCCCCTGCTTGCATATCATATAAAGTTATGAAGGGACATAAGAACGGTAAAAGTGACACTACCCAAATTTGTACTTGATCTGAGTTTTGTGGTTATAAGCATTGTGTATAAGTTTCATAACATTTGGTTGAGGCAAACTTAAGTTAGAGAACGGAAACTAAAAATTCAGCCATTTTTCCGTTTGTAAAGGAGCATAACTCTAGAACAGTAAAAGTGACACCACCAAAATTCAAACTTGATCTGTATTTTTTGGCAATAAGCATTGTGTATAAGTTTCATAACATTTGGTTGAGGCAATCTAAAGTTAGAGAATGGAAACAAAAAATTCAGCCACTTTTCCATTTGTAAAGGGACATAACTCTAGAACAGTTAAAGAGACGCCACCAAAATTCAACCTTGATCTGTGTTTTGTGCTGATAAGCATTGTGTGTAAGTTTATTAACATTTGGTTGAGGCAAACTGAAGTTAGAGAACGGAAACGAAAAATTCAGCAATTTTTCCATTTGTAAAGGGGCATAACTCTAGAATGGTTAAAATGACGCCACCAAATTTCAAACTTGATCTGTGTTGTGTGATAAAAAGCATTGTGTATAAGTTTCATAACATTTGGTTGAGGCAAACTAAAGTTAGAGAACGGAAACCAACTTTGGGATGTACCTACGTATGTACGGACGTACGGAGGGACGTGCGTAAAACTTAATGCCCCCTCCGCTACGATGGAGGCATAAAAATATTGATCAGTGGTACCATGGTGCTATCTGAAGATTTCATCAATAGAGTCTGTTGTAAATGTGATGCTATAGCCTATCTTTTTAGGGAAACAGTGATATTTCAAATCAAATTGCGTTATTTCAAAATACTGCAGAGAACACAAAAACTTTTGGCTTTCAGTGCTTCAAACTCATCAGATTATGTACATTCATGTTTTTTAAGCTTTGTGAAATCTCTCAAAGATAATTCATTTGATGCTGTTCAGGGTTCCTCTACTGTTTTACTGACATAAAGGTTAACCATTGCAAATGAGGAAAAAAATCATCATTAACAATGACAAGTTTACCTGCACTTTCAGATATATACCACGGGAAATTTTACATGAATTTTTATCAAAACATTTTAAGCTTGATTTTCGCTATTGTCAAAGAGTAATTATTCCATATGACCATTATATTTATTTTCCATTGACAAACACATCACTCTCAAAATACTGACTATACACATCACTATAAATGGAAGTTTATGAAGCACCTCTAACATCAGAGTACCCAAATTGCACCTATTTAGCAAAAATAGCAGCGAAAATCAAACACGTTTTCCTAGGGACTAAATGATTATTATTTGACATTATGCACGTCTTTCAAATAAGTTAATATATTTAAATGTTCAAAAAACATTCACAATATATATCAACAGATGAAGCATTCACTGGAAAAAGTCAAATCTACGGAAACGTCGCCATGCGACATCCACAAAAAGTCATCTTTTAAAAATTAGCAAATAAAATATGTTAAGAGCATCCATTTCTTAAAAAATGAATAGTAAGCATGGACTAGTGTCAAATTGTTCTAAATATTTGAAGAAATAACACAAATTATCTGTTATTCGATTTTTAAGGATGTGAATTTAAGCATGGATGCAATTTGGGTACTCCTCATTACAGAACCATGGATCGTTTGGAGGTCGATTCAAACCCATTTTTCTATGATTCAACATGGATTCAAAATTAAATTGGTGGAACCATAAAGTAAATAAGGATACATCAACAAAATAAATACAGAATGGAAACTTTTGTCTGGATCATAAATAAACGCAGGTTAAAAAACTGTCAAAATAGGTGCAATTTGGGTACCATCACGTTAAGTATGGGATATGTTACTATACTGGTGCCTTAACTTATGAAATTGCATCCCATTCTGGACATCTTACATACTGTTTTACTAGTATTTAAACAGAAATAAATGGATTAGACAACACCTCTTATATTCTGTCATCTGTAATTATAATGTATTATGTATATTTGATGCTCCTTTAGCGCAGTTACTGTGTCTGAGTTTATCTAATAAAGTTTCTATATGATTCATGAAAAAAGGTAAAACAATGTTGACCTTAACCATCACACTTTGATTTATCCAATTGTAACAGAAGGTATTCTTTTTTAATTCTGATAATTTAAAAAATTTTAATAGGATAATTACAAAATAAGATCATAATTATTCAATGATCAAGTTCAATTCAAAATCAATCAAGATATTACAACATGTTTTGCATGACTAATCTATCTAAGAATTATTCTTCAATTATCTTGCAATAATCAATAAAAAATAATAAGTTAAAAATCCTTATCAACTTATAATTATCTTTTATTTAACTTTTTCATGTGCTAAGTAATCAATAGAAAAATTCACACATCTGAAGTTCATTAAAAACTATGCATATAGAATAACTCTGTGACATGCAGCCCATAACAAAAAAATTTAATTTAACAAATGTAACGGCCAATGGATTTCTGTTTATATTAAAATACTCATGTGTCAGTTCAAAAAATTGGTAACCATGGAAATCTTAAATGACTTATTTGGAACTGCCATGTCTCTGCAAATTATAATTTAATCCAGATTTGAAAATGATGTAAGAAAGTCCAGCCCTTTTAAACTGCAGTAGGCGTGAGCTAATGTTTATGACATATGCCATGCCTCCTGTGAATTATAATTCTTCGGCCAAAACAATGGGCGGTCAATTAAGAAATTCATTTTGAGTGTTATCGTTTTCATAAACGTCTATCCTTGTAGTGTGCCGACTGTGATTAATCAACCATTTCCCCTATCTATTGGACAGTGTAATTAATCTAATTATCACTGGACAAATTATACTGTGCGTTGAATTTCAAATTTTCATTTCAAACTTTGTTTCAACTCACCACTTAGAACATTTAATTTTTCACAACAAACCCAACGTGTTTTCTATTTTGGTCGCCATTTTTGAGAAGGATTCTGGGAATTTAAAAAACTTGTAAGATGGCGATTTAGTGCAGAACGGATACACACGAAGGTAAATGTTTAAAGTTTACACAATGTCATAAAAGTTCAATTAAAGAAAAAAGTTAATTACGTAGGAAAGCAATGTTCGTTTCAGCATCTATTTGTTATTGGGACACTCAAAGTGAAATCTTTCTAAAGATTTTTCGAAGACAAAGTTAAAAAGAATCAATAACTGATGTCCATCGCTTATCGGACACTGGATTTTAAATTAAACTTCAGCAGCTGAACGATCAATTTTCTTGGAATCTTTATTATCTAATGGTTAAAGATAAATTTCTTTAATGATGAAGGTTGTATTGTGGATTTTAAACTTTGACGGTAATGTAGAAACTATTTTTATAAAGATTTTTTTCTTCAGTTTTTGGAAAATAGGTGAAAATGTCAAATTATGATAATTTTTGTGTATTACGTTTGTTGTTTTACCCTTGAGGTCGTTTTTATGTTCTTAGATGAATTATCACTGATGTTATTATGTTCAATTGATTATTTAAAAGTCACAAGCCAGTTTACAAAACTTCTACTGGGATGCTGAACTTCGTAGCAGACGATGTTTTTAGTGAAAAAACTTTATCAGTTTGACCACGGGAATGAGATGGGGTGAGGTCAGCAAAATTTGCAATATTTAGTTGCAATGAGAAATACGCACACACTCGTCCTCTTTCGTTTTCGATAAATAATAATTAATGCTTTATCTACTTATCTGTTAAAAAACTGACACTGTAACAATCGTTATAATTTCTGAAGTTATTAAAGATCAAGCATATCTTAAACGGAAAGATAAAGTTGAACTGTATAATTTCTTTTATGAAACCAGAGATGTTGCTCTATTGTTTAAATTACTTGTATGATCCAGGGCAGTTGTTTGGCTCCAGATGGAATTTTAAATGCAAAATAAAACTTTCATATGAAGTTGTGACAAAGTAAAAAAGTATTTCAAGCTGTCAACTTGTTTAGGTTATTGACAATGTAATTAAATTAACTTCATTGTAAAAATTTTGTTGTAAATGTGGATTTAAGTAATTTAGTGTGATCAACTTTACAAAATTGATTTGATTTTAATTTTAACATTTGACAGTTTTATAATGAAAATTTGTGCTACTTTGAAAGTGATACTGTAGAAAGTTTAATTTGCCAGAGTCAAATTTCTGGTGAAATGGCAAGATCTCAAAATCTGCCCATATGCTGATCAGTTTGACATATTAATGCCTCTTGTCTTTGGCCATTGATTGATCCACTAACAAATGAACCTATCAGAATTTTTCTTTTACATTGGTTTTAAAAATTGTCTTGATATTATAACAATACTTGTGATTTTTCATTGCATTATTTGAGTTATAAGCTGTCGTTTTGATGGCTTTGTGATTTAGCTAGGTAATCTATCAAAATTTTCTTGTTTTCAGTAATGAAATACTGACCAGGGGCTATTAATATGTAAACATAACATCACTGCGGAAAATAAAACCACTCCTTAAACTCCATATATGGATAATTTAATGTTTTGTAGTGTTTCAACTAGATCTTATTTTTATGTTTCTCTATAACAGTTGGAATATGTCACTTGGTTGTCAAATAACAATTTGAAATAGAACTTCAAAGGAATTGTTAATTTAAAGACTTTGTCTTAAAGTGATTTGGGAATTAAAACAGAAAAAAACAAGGTAAAAATCAATAAAATTCTATACATTTTCATCTTGGATTAAAAAATGAAACTTCAATCACATTTTTACTTTATCAGTAAAATACAGCAGTCTTAATTTGTTAAATGATGAAGCCTACATGCTATTTAGTAGCAAGCAATTAATTACTTTGAACAAACAATCTACAACAAAAGTCTTTAAATCAATTTTATATAAAGATATAATTATACTGCCTTTAGAATATTGATGAAAACTGATTTCTCATCATTTATTGTTTGATTAGGAGTAAAATATATTGGTTTGTATGTTTCATCTGGACGTTTGTAACAACGTGAGTTTTTAATGGCTCACCATGTGTTAATAATTTCTCTTATCAAAATAGTATAACAAGTTCTATATATTAGTTTTGTTACTTTTGCAAGTATTTTTGTAGTAAGTTACTTAGGAGAAGATACACATAATTTATGATCACATGTAGCTTTAATTTAACATCATAGTTTGCAGGATCACCCAAACTGACTTAACTGTCATGAATTATACCCTCTACTTACAGAACAACAGAAATATGAATTAATTGTTTAGAACTGCACCTTTATGTGAAGTGAAAGAAGCCATATTGGAATTTTGATGTTTTTGCTAGCTGAAAAGAATTCCTTGGTAAATATAAATTGTTTCACCATCCTTGCATGTAATAGTAGCTGGTGTCCAAGTTTTTGGAGTGTGATGAGTGTTTAAATAAACATTTTAAATCAATTTGGTGGGATTGCTTTTCATTTTTTGTTTCATTTTAACATTTCCTCTGAATGCTGTCAAAGAGATTTAAATTTTTTTTTTTAACATGATAACCTCAGAAAATTAAAAAAAAAAAATTTATTCCTTTATAAACGTTAATAAAAAGTGATATTTATGTAAAAATTGAGTAATTGATTTTTAACATTGAAAAAATCCTGTTTTATATATTCCTTTTAAAGTTTTATGAATTTTGAAATAATATAGTAACAGATGGTTTGAATTAAAAATGAGGTTACCATTGGGGGCATTTCTTTGCTAAAGATTAAAAGATAATAATTTTGTGTTCAGATTAAGTCATTTGCATGTTTGTAAGATCCTGATGTGTTAATTCATTACTTACATCATATCCAGGGGAGAGAACATACAGAATCATTGAGGCCCCAGGAACAAGGGGCAATCTATGGTGCTAATAAGATCATGTACCATATAAATGATTGGAAATTTGAATTACTGCTCAGGAAGGTCCACTGGGGTTTACATGAATATTAAACTTTCCTTTATCTTTGGTTAATATGAAATATTAATGACAGTGAAAAACTTGGATATCTTCAGTAACACTGTAATGTAATATTATTGTAAACAGATGCTAGATAATTAGTATAACCTTTTCAAATATGTAAAACTTTATCCCAAAGCTTGCTTCAGATATTGTCTAATAATACATCTGGGTAATTAGTTTAATTCAAACTTTGGATAACATGCTGATGATAATATGGGCAGTTAGAGGTTAAATATGGCTATAATATTCCATTCCCATGCTTTATGGCTGAGGGTAATTATTATAATGGGTAATATTCCAGTTTAAAATAAATATCACAATCTCATTATTTTGATTATAAGTTTTTAAAACATAAAAGTAGCCAACTTTAAGCAGACATTCAGTATCATCCTTATTCAAGTTAATGGCTGTTTTAAGCAAATGAAATAAATTGAACACTTCCAATAAACATACACATGTGCACAAATTTGCATCAATTTAAAAAGAGTCAATATACTTATAAACATATGTTGAAAACCTTGAATAAAAAAGAAATTAAAAATACATGTACTTTCCATTTCCTTAAAATCATTACGTCTCATTCTATTTTAATTCAAACCAATAACAAAAATACTGAATTACATTGTTAAGAAGATTTCCCAATTTTAAAAGATTTAACTAAGTGTATGATAAGGATAGTTTTCCAAACTGCTGGTATAACCTCATCATTCTTATTATATTCATATGTTTGACATACTGTTTAATTGCTAAACATGCTGGTGTGTTAAATGCCACTTTTACTCAAGTACTAAATTGTCTGATACATATCTGCCTCCTCAGCCTTCATTTTACATTGTATAAGACGCTATAGAAGAGTCTGATCAAAAGATGGGATTAAGATGAATATCAATTCATTTGGAATGCTTTCAAAGTATCTGATTAATCCCTGATTGGATTTCATTTAGGATCTTTCAGTAATATTACTGTCCCGTTTAATTATGGGGTTAATAAGGGTTAAACAAAAAGGGAGGAAATTTTATTATTACTTTAATTTCTCAAATTTTATATCTTGAGGAAGCCCTGAAATTGAATTCTTTAAGCTGTGAAAATTTTCTTTATAAAGCATCAAAATAGCTTCTGCCTCAATCTTTCTGTCATGAATTTGAGTTATTAAAGATAGTTTATAAGAAGATTTAGTTTCCTGCATCATGCCAGCAGCATTAAAATTGTAATGACAGCTGGAAGCTAAATTAATGTTATTAAACATTTTGACAAGGGTCAGTTGTAATTTTTGACAAAAGTCATCATTTGTATCATATTACATAATCTTAAGATGATTGATGGGGACTTTCAGAAAGAAAAAAAATTGTTTGCAAGTACTATTACAAGTGGGAGAAAGCATGGTACTTGGTAGTGAAATAAATGTTTTATCACAATATAAATAAGTGCTTATGGTGGTTATTTATGTGATATAGGTGTGGATACAAGATTTAAAAGATTTTATACATCACCTTAGGTGACTAAACTGTTATCTAGATGATTAAAATTACTGCAAAAGATTATAAATGAATTACCATTTATTCTTGGAATATAACATGAACAAGTTGAGAAGGTATTAATTTAAAGTGCCAGATGCTCCTTAATTTTGCCATTGTAAATTTTTGTTAATATGTATAGTATTTATACAATGTTTATATATACCCCCTTAAGAGCCTCATATCTACAGAATCTTGTTATATGTTTAATTAGATATCAAAGTTTTTATATCAAACAGAAAGATAATTTTAATTTCTTGCAGTATAGTTTGTATAAAACATGCTTCAATGTCGTCTATAAATGGGCAGTGAAATCTGATATGTCAGTGTAAGATTTACTGAGAAAATCTGGTCAAAATCTTTCTCCTGACCATATGGTCAAGTCCAAATTCCACATAAAACTCTAGATAATAGCTTTAGTCATCTATAATTCTATCAATAGTAATTAGCATATTTAAAATCTTCTGTAATGAGTTATTGATTGTGGATTTTTTCAAGATTTGTCAGTCTCTGAAATCTGGATTTCATTTCAGATGAAACTTATTTGATTTTGATATAAACATGATGATGGACATCAGGTTTTAAACATCAAAGTAAAATAAAGTATTTGGTTTAAGTGTATTTGGCACCACTTAAATATCCTAACCACCATCATCTTAAAGATGATAAAAATATGCTCTCTGGCCTTGGTCTTTTATACCAATTTATGTTTCAGGAATTAGAATTCCAGCTGTTGTTTGAAAAATTAAAAATCTTTTTACAAAGATAATTGGAAAAACATATATACCAATTTAATAGAATTGTAGAAAATTAAGAGGAAGTTTCTTAACATGATGTTCTTTCTAAACAGAGGGTCAAGAGAGGGTTATAATTATGACCAGCTTTCTTTCTTTCTTTTTGTTTACAAACAGAACGTTAAATAATCAATAAACAAGAGTTTAAAAGTGTACAATAACTTTAAAAAATATTTTGTTTTTACTACTGTTAACACCTAAATGCTTTGAACATATCTCAATGGCAGATTTAACTCAAATAAACTAATTCTTAAATTTGTTACCTTAAAGACAAAATTTGTTAAACTTAAATGCTTTTTAAATATTATATAACTATCTCAGCTTAAAAAGGATTACCTAATGGAACTGCAATCAGATCTGCTCAAAATGTTTGAAATCTAACATCATAAGGGATTATCTGCTTAAAAAAAAATTTAATATTAACAAAACATTTCAAACTGAAGGATTGCTTTTAGAAGGAAGAAAGAAAGGTAAATATTTTTTTTATTTTTGAATTAGGGGGGTCCAAACATGTAATGATTATACCTATATGACCAAAGTTAATATTTGATAGTTTCGTAGGTTGTGATACAAAAAAGATTAAGGAGATAGATGACATAGAAAAATTCATAAAGAATGTTTCTTTTTCCTTCGGGATGTCAGGAACTGAAATTTAATTTGATTTTCAAATGACCTCTCTCTTAATTGTTTTCTAATTAAAATCGTCATTTTTCATGTGGAATATTCAAATCTGAATGAAGTGAGTCAGACAGAAATGTGACATTTGTTTGATCAAGATCTTGCCAAATAAATTGTAAAATTTCAAATTGGATAATGATGATTATTGATGTTTTTATGATCTTTTTACTTGGCTACTGAAAAATGTTCCATGGGACCAATCATTAGAAACATGTGAATTTAATGGAGCATTAATTTACATTTTAAAGCTTTGATGACTTTAAGTTTAATCAATTTTGAAACTGAAAATTAATTTCACTTGGGCTGCATTAATTCTGAATTAACATGGGTAAAAGTTTGCCTGACACTTGGTACCATGGGGATAAAATTAGATGAAAAAATGTCCTCATCAGTAGTAATCAAATGATGAGAATGAAGATCATTTATACGATAATGCCTGCAGTGAGAGTCTTTTGTATTATTCTATATAATAATGAAGTTGTTGTACATGCTTCTGTTGAATAAATTGCTGTAATGCATTGTAATACATACAGTAAGACAAAAAAATTGCATCATAGCGTAAAAAATACATGATAAGAAATTTTTCTTGAAGGTTCATTTATACCTTCCCACATGTGTACCTACCTCCCCCTCAGGTTATTCATGTTGTATATTTTTACCAGTCTAGAGTAAAATTAGGGGAAGATTTTTCTCTTTTATTGTTACATGCATCCAGTAACTTTAATGCAGAGAAATGTGACTTCTAGCAGAACCTGACATTCAAATAAGTGATAATATGTTTGGATTTAATGTTAACAAATCTAGTATTTAATTTGTTCTCAACTATTTAAAACTAAATGGATTTCATCTTCCACATCAACAGACAATTACGTAAAGATGTTCAGATAATTATCAGCACTACTGTTGATAATCAGTTATTAAGAATGAGTTTTTAATAAAGTATTACATGTATGCAAAGTAGATTACATAAGGATGGTAGTTGGTGTTAAAACACCCATGGCAGGGGTCAGTTCTGGTTTTGAAATTTTTCTTTATTTCCTCTAAGATTAAATATCAACTTCCTTATCTTTGTCTAATCAGTAAACATGCTGGCCAGTGAATGTTAATACTTTAATATGAACCATACTAAAAATTTTGTTTCTGAATTTATCAACCTGGGGGCATTTATCAATCAACACCATGTATCCAGTTCAGGAAGTTATTTCAGGATTGACTTAAAATAATTTAAACATTTATCCTGAGATTAAATATACACTGCTATGAAAATATTGGGAAAATATGTTGCAAATCTGATCTCTATTGAATAGGTATGTAATTTTTTAGCATTTGATAGAAGATGGTAGAATATTTTTTTTATATAATTAACTTCTTCATAATGACCATTCTATTGATTTTCAACACTTACTTTTTTTTATATCACATAAAAGTGAAATGAAAAAAGTTATATTTTTCAGAAATTTCTTGAATAATAAAATTATTTTCCTGTTTTTATTGACTTTTAATACTTTAAACATCTGCTGCATAAAATTTAATCAAGTTTTATGAACTTTAAGGTCTTCTGATCAATAAAAATCTATTCAGAAAATGTCATACAAGTCATAAAATGAGATTTAAAATGGAATAGGTGTTATTTTGCATATTTTTCATGACTCATTGGGTATTAAAAAAGCTGGAGTGGCTGCATTTTCTCCCATTAAATAAATCTGTAAAAAGCATTGTTAAAATTATAATTTATCAATACAGGGGTTTTGTGTTTGTTTTAAGACCAATGATATTGTTGATCATTGTGGTAGAAATTCTTGAAACACCACACAGCCAAATTGCTAATAACAGCTATTCCAGTTATCTCCCCTTAAAACTCCACAGTAATTTGTGTTTTTTTCTTGGCTCTAATTTGAGTGATATTCCATTTTACCTCAAGATACTAATTTAAATATGGATATATTTTAAAACTATATCTGGAATGTTTTTTCAAACTCTTCTGTTTTAAATAATATACATTAATTTATCTTTATTATGTATTGTCACTTGTCATGACTTTTATTTTTCAAATTGTTGACATGTGTCAGAAGATGTGGACATATAACCACCTTAAAATAAATGACCAACATTTTACAATTTGACATCAAATTTTGAAATTTGATATTATACATATATTAGATATCATTATGATGCAAGGATCATTGGACATATCATGATAAATGATTTGAACTAAAGACATAAAGTAGGTACTTATCAAGGACTGTGCACATGGGCTGTGAGAATGCATCTCTATGAAAACCATTAAGAACTATTATTAAAGTCAGATTTAATTTAAAACATTAACTGTTAGTTAAAGATGATTTTTTTGTTAGTAGACCTGTAAACTAGAGTAAAAATAATGTCCTTATAGTATAGAATGTCTTCCAGGAGGGTTATGTCAAAAATCCATCTTGACATATCAGTCTAATACATATATATACAGAGCAAGGATCATATTTCATAACATGACAATTTGTTCCTTTCTTCATATGGTTTTAAACATTTGACAGTGGTCATCAACTTCATACAATAAAGAAATTGAATATCTAAAGACAAAAGTTCATCCTTTACTCCGAATAAGTACTCAAATACAACACAGTTATTCCAGTTTTACTTATTGTGAAAACCATTTTTTTGTTTGAAATAGTGTAATTTCTACTGCGGTTGCACAGGATCTTTTTGAAATGCAATTGCCATTTTTTTAAAGCCTGAGAATTCAGGATTAACAAAATACTGAAGAAGGGTATACTTTTCTGACTGAGGTTCATTTTTACTTATCTTTATTTGCAATTTATTTTATGATAATAATTTTTTTTCACCAGTTTGCTAATTACTGGGAGAAAAACAGGTATTATTGCAAGCAGTAAAAGTCAATGGTCATTGTCGGTCATTTATTGACAATTTTTAAAGCACACCTGTCCATTTTAACAATGAAAAATCATATTTCTACCTGAAAAAAAGATATCACCTGTTGTAATCTGATAATTTTCCTTTGTTGTATTCCAGTAATTTGGCCTGTAAATAAACACTAGGTTGTTTATAACATTTCATTTTATTTATAAATTAATTGTATACTCTGGGTGTATTAGAAGCATCTAATTTTACAGATCAAATTTTTTTTCAAAAGAACCTGTTATCACATTGGAGTTGTTACATGTAATTACAAATGAAATTGACAATGGGCAGTGGGCAAACTGAACATGTTGTGTTAATTAACTCTGGACTAATAACTATGTGAATTATTGATGGTGTTGTGGGGTAAAGTCTTTTGAATTTGACTGTCAATTTCAATTAGAAGTTTGAGCTGACCATATGTAAGAAACATTAGGTAAATAATTTCTGTCATAACAGAAGTGAAGCAGTTCATTAAAGAAGTGAGTTTTTTCATATTTACTTTTTTTTTTAATTTGATTAGTTTATCAGGATATTAAGTGTATTGCACAATTAAATAATGGTTGGTGCATGCTTGTTATATTTATTTTCAGTGCAAGCTGAATGCATAGATATACATCTCAATAAGTGTAGATATGAAAAGTTATTGTTGTTTTGTTGATGAGAGAAAATATCAATTATTAAAGCATATCATACTAATAAAAAACTAGGGAGGTTTCCATAGCAACAAAATTCTGGAAAAAAATTAAAATGAGATAATAGGCTAGCTATTTATTTTCTTGTCAATTAAAATGTCATTATATTGAGGAAGGAATGTTTATTTGTTTCATTTCATCTTATTTTTTAAAAGCTTTTTTTATATTGAATTATTTAATAATAAAGGACAAGTTTCATTTGAAATTTTGAATTGACGGCAAACATTAACTTCAACTGTGTGAAGTCAAGATCAACTTATAAGGGAATCTAAAAGTAAAATCACAAGCTGCAGAGTTAAAAAAAAGATTTACATAAAAAAATTACTCATCTAGGGGATAGTCTATATTGTAATATTTCCACTAAATAGTAAGTATTTTGATCTGGTCATGGTTTATTAGGTTCAATGTAATGTGTACAAAAGATAGGGCTGCAGCTCCTTTATTTAGAAAGTATTTTGATCTGGTCATGGTTTATTAGGTTCAATGTAATGTGTACAAAAGATAGCACTGCAGCTCCCTTATTTAGAAGTTGAAATTAACATTGTTGTTGCTTTAAATTTTTTGTATACATGTATAATATCTTTATAACCTTTTGGCTGTAAGATTTCAAGACAAACAAAAGTCTAGAAAAGTGCTTTAAATGATTCATAATTTTAGTTAATTTTCTTTTATTTGCAATTTTGTGCTTTAAAATGTCCTTTAATAATACTTCCGTTCTGCCTGATAAATTTCATGTTCAGGTTTAAAAGAACATGTAGAAAATATTTTTATCATTCTTGTTTGTCAGAAGCTTTCTTGGAATAGGTTAATATTTTAACAATATATGCTAACTAATTATATTTTGATTACCATCACAAATTACTTGGATCAATGAGAGTCTTAAAAGATCTGTTTTTTTCATCCCTTTCCATTTTACCAACCAATTTTAAAGTTTATTGCATAGAAGCTAGGTCATTAACAGTTCTTTTATAACTGCAATCTGTTACTATATAATACCATTAGAACATATGTCATTTACCTTCAAATTTAAAATGAAACATTTCTACTTTAAAACTGTATATTTTTTATAGCATCAGCTTGCCTTCTTAATACAAACAATCATTATTATACACTGAAGTTGTTTGTGTGGCAAGATGACAAATTTTCAAGGTTTCTAAATAAATGACAGGTATGCATTATATGGTATTTCATTGAAGGTGCGTAGTTAATATTTGGCACTGTCTCATGTTTAAATAAGTAACTGAAAAAAATGTTGATGCAACTATCTTGTTTTTTTTCTCTAGCAGAAAGGCATTCTTGACAAGTTTTTGTCATATAATTATAATTAAGGGATCTATTTTACTTTTCCATGTGACTGAAATATTTTTTTAACTGTGATGTACTTTCATGATCACATGAAGCCATAAATGTTTATGTGTGATAACTCTTGTCAAAGTATAATGAATATGATCTGTCCATTTGGAAGTAAAATAGGGATTGCAAAAGAAAAATGGTTCAACCAATTTCAAAGTAAAAGGCCTAAATTCCTGTTTTGATATTTTGTTTTTTTCTGTTTAGATTCTGTATGAAATGTTCTTCCTGCCCTTTTTCAGTTAGGGTTAATATATCTCTTATCATCCTCAAAGTTTAATGAATGCTTCTTTGTCAGAAATTGTCCCATACCTTATTATGTTATCTACACTTGCTTTTATTAAACAGTTGTTTAGCTTTCCTTTTAAGTCATGCTGGAAGGTTAAACTTTCCTTTTATGGACATGCTGGAAAAAAATTGTCATGCTGCACTGGGCCTAGCTTCTTATTTCATACTGAAATACATATTGAAATCTTCTATTGGAAAAAAGGTTTTCTGATTTTGTAGTAAAAATCACACTGACAGAACTAATTAACCTTTCTTTAAAAAAATGAGCTGAAACTTTTTTTTACCAGTTGTTCAGATTTGCTCAGAACAAATTGTTACCGGTATGTGAAATATTTTTTCCTAATGGTGAAGAGAAATGTATAATGCACTTAAAACAGGATTGAAATTTGTATATTTATGTAGAAAATTGAGGATAAGATACTCAGTAAAAAAATATTCTGATTCATACACAAGATTTGCGTTAAACAGACTGACCTATAATGACTTTTAAGACATAAATATTTGTAAAAATGTTTGATTCAAAATTTATCTTTTTTTTTTTTTTTTGTCATTTCAGAATTTCCAGTAATGGTGGATTGTACATTGTAGTGATCAATTAGTCCAGATATTTATTGTGATTGAGAACTATCTTAACTTAACCGTACAATTAGAGAATTTTAATGGTTGTTCTGGATCCCTCCAGCGATCAGATGCTAGCCATGGATATTTTAGCATTTGATAAGATGAAGGGAAATCGTCGAAAACAAAGTAAACCAATACGGGTATCCTGTAGTGCCGACAGTGAATCTGTAGAACCTGGCAGCAAGTACTTAGGTACATCCGAATCCCAATTCCCAAATAATGGAAACAATGATATGAATGATGCAGAAAACAGGCCGTCAGAAGAAAGTGATTCTTCAGATGTTAGAATAGACAGAAATATAATGGAGAAAGACTCAGATATTAATAGGAAATTGAAGGAAAATGAAATGATTGAAAATAACAATAAGTTGTTATCATCTTTCCATAGTATTCCAGGTTCAGAAGCCTATCCAACTAAATATCACCGTCTTGGAAGTGAATTATTCCAGCCAGCATTTCCAACAAATGGAGAACCTGAATCTGAGAGAGTGGATCCTACTCGCATCAATGGTGAAGACAGGTTTAAAGATTTGCTTGAAAAAATACCTAATTCAGACGAAGAAGGCAAAAAGGTTGATGGCGGAAATCGTATCTTCCATCAAGATGCTTATTGCGAAATTTGTGACAGGGAATTCTGCAACAAATACTTTCTGAAGACACATAGAGCTAACAAGCATGGTATATTTGATAATTCCACATCACCAATTTCATCCATGGGCCCCAGTATGCCACTACCTCAAGATATAATCACAACTGCCTCACCTATACAACCGCCTACACTAACTACATCTTCGTCATTCAAAGTAATGGATTTTATTCAGAACCTTCCTGCAACAGAACCAAAAAGCAAGAAACCTGACACTCCTAAACCGCCAGCAAACATAGAAGCAAAGTCACCACTGATGCCAAATCCTCCTTCCACTCCTACAACACCAGGTGGATCAAGCATCAACAATAGTGCTAATAATAATAATGGCAGTAAACCTGTTCCAAAGGACATGGAAGATTTTTGCGAGCTATGCCAGAAACACTTCTGCAACAAATACTACCTCAAAAAACATAAGCAGGATGTGCATGGTATTGCTCCACCAGATGGTATGTCTTCAGCAAACAAAAGGGGAAGACCAAAAGACCTTCAGGCACAACTAGATGCTATTACATCATCAACAATGTCTCTGGGGAATCCAACTATATCTTCATCCATGTCATCTTTTATGCCACCACATTCATTACCAAGTATGCCAGGCTTACCTAATATGCCACCAGGAGTTATGGTTTTGAATCCATTCATGGCACCAATGCTGCTACATGCTGGTGGTTTGATGCCTTCACAGGGACAGATGCCAACACCACCAATTATGTCTCAGCCACCACCAACATCACCAACACCACCACCAATGCCATCACATTCATCAGCAAACACACCACCTCCATCTTCAATATCATCTACTGGTCAGATACCATCATCAAATGGGGCTCTCAATCAGGAAGCATATTGCGATCTATGCCAGAAAGAATTCTGTAACAAATACTTCTTAAAAATTCATAAAGCAAACAAGCATGGTATCTTTTTTGATGATTTTCCATTTGGTCCACAGATACCACCGTACAAGATGCCTATCTTTTCTGACAACAAGCCTACCTCTGAACAGTCTGAATCACCCAATGATGCAAACAACATCAAGCAAGAGAATAGTCCAAAGGCAGGTACGTCTTTAGTTACATCAAGCCCAGAGAATCCTGGTACATACTGCAATTTGTGCAATCAGGAGTTTGCAAGCAAATACACATATCGTATACACAGAATTCAGATCCATGGAATGTTGAATGAAGCCTATGAAGGAGCTTTAATGGAAGACATCATGAAAAGCACAATGAAAGATAGAATAGAATCTCAGATGAAAATTTCTCCTAATTCCCTTGCAAAAATGGAGATGGATGAGTACTTCAACAATAGAATGATGGAAAACGGAATGTCAACCATGTTTAGTAATATGGTAGCTGCCAAACTTGCCGATCGTGTAACTTGTGATATTTGCAACAAGGTTCTTTGTAATAAATACTTCCTGAAAGTTCATAAACAGAAAGTGCATGGAGTAGAGCCTTCACCAGAACAAGATCTCAAGCTAGACATCAGTAAATCTTTTCAACTAAATGGAAGTGAACCTTCTACTCCAATAAAATCAGCAATGAAATTTGAATCATCTGATCCAAGTCCAAAGCTGCCTACTTCAATGGGAGCATCATTCCCTATGGGTTACCCAAGAGCAAGTGATGCATTACTTGATACGTCTCCAAACTCTGTTGAGAAACCATCAAAAGACGAGTTAGTTAAAATGGGTATTGATCCAGAAGCATATTGCGAAATTTGTAAGAAAGAATTTTGTAGCAAATACTTCTTACGTACACATAAATTGAATATTCATGGTATTCGTAGTGATAAACCTGAAACCCCTGATTCTGATAAACTTGCATTCTTGAACATGTCTTTAAGCCAAGCTAGTATGTCTATGAACCAGGCAAATCTATCAGCCTCAATGAGTCAGAGCAACAAACCACTAAATCTTAGCATGAATACTAATGGCAAAAGCAAAAATGTCTATGAGAAACATTCATGGCGATGGAAAGAACCTGTCAACTCATCAAGGGTCATCTGTGAACTATGTAATAAGGAGGTTTGCAACAAATACTTCTTGCGTACTCACAAGTTAAACAAACATGGAATCTTGCCAAGCGAAACATCACTTTCACCTAGTAGTTCACCATATCCTTCCGAATTTGACACACAAAGTAACTCATCACTTCCAACTGATCTCAGTATGAGAGAACGTAACCAAAGTCCACTTGCTGTTCATCTAGGTAGTAATGTATCTCGTCCAAGTAGTATTTATGGATATGAACAAAAAAGAGACTCTGAAAACATGATCAATGACAATGAAAACTCTGAGTATTACAACTCCTACAGTGAAGTTTGTCAACTATGTGAGAAAAGATTCAAGAATTTGAAACGACTAAAGCTACATATAATGAAAGATCATGGGATGCTATCATCTGTTAGAAAGGGATTGTTTTCTGAAACTCAAATGGACACTAGAATTTGTCGAATGTGTGATGCTTCCTTCCCAAGTGAACTTGCCATGCATTTACATATGATTCAAGAACATAATGCCCAGGTTAGTCTGAATACCACTGAAAATGAAAGAGAAAACATGCCACCAGCCTCTAGACCAAGAAAGCATAAGTCTAGACTTGGATTTCACAAATTTTCTTTGATCACAAAGCAGAAGTATTACAGTTGTTCTCAATGTGATTTCAGAAGCAAATGGTTGAACAACCTTTGTGATCATGAACTTAAAGTGCATAATATATCACCGAAAAATGGACAAGCTTTTGGAAACATTCATGGAAATAGTCCAACAAAAATTGGAAAATACAGGTGTTCTAAATGTAGCCGCAAATTTCCATCAATTATTCTATGTAACCATCATATACGTGAAGAGCATATACGTAAAAAAGATTTTGCTGTAGTCAAATCAAATACTCGCTTCTCTTGTGAACATTGCAAGTTTTCCACAAGGTTCATCAAACAGTTGAAACGTCACGTTGAGAGAGTCCACAGTGGCACAGAAGAATGTCTCAATGGCTTGGATATGGAAGATAATTATTCAGGGAAAACGTCAGAGCCACTAAATCTCCATGTGCAAGCTGTTAATGGGTCAGATTGTGAGATGCAGGCTTTTAAGATTAAAGACTGTTCTTCAATTTATAGTGACTTTGTTACAACTGTTGTGAAGATGCCAGTCCGACACCATGTGAGTGCACCAATAACTGTAACCTTCCACTTGACCCCAATGGAACAATAGTTGTCCATTTTACTAGCTATTTTTTCCAGTGTTCATGTGATGTGTTCATATTTTGAGGTTGTTTTTTTTATTTTTTTCTGTTTTGTTGTGAATTTTGCATTTATTACTGCATGGAATTTTTCTAATAATTTTCAAAAATTTATTATTTTTGACAATTTTTTTATATTGTGCAATAAGTTAACTATACAACAATTGATACAGATGAGGCATATTTTAGTCAACACATTAGTCTGTATTTCCATTGTAATTGTGCAAAATAGATCAAATTAGGCCTTTATTGGAGCTATTTCAAATGGTTGTAATTAGTCAAAACATATGCAGAAGTTGATAATTACAAAATATCTTGTTAAATATGATACAATAGGAGTCCTATACACATTTATTTGATAGATAAAATCAAAAAGAATAAAAAACAAAGTACTTCCAGTTCAGTTTGCCTGTTAAAAGAGAAAAGTAGGTATTAGATCATTCAGTATTAAATTTTTAACTTATTCGCTTTTTCTTTAAATTGTATCATATGCTTGGTGAAATGCAGAATTTTTAACTCTGCTTGAAATTGCTAGTGTCAATATGACAAAGAGTGCTATTTAATATTTGATATTTATGAATGAGAAGTTTTTCTTCTAAATGAGAAACGCAAAAATAAGGGGATGAAGAGTGTTCATTCCCCTCTGTCATTTCAATTTAAAAATTTGCATCCAATGTTTTAAAAATGAACAGGTTTTTAATATATGATATATTGTATTTATTACTTCACATATTGAAATGTAGTATGTATCAGGGGTACATAGTACACTAAGAGGTTAACATGATTTTTTCACAAACATATGCTCCAGGGCTATATACATTTTAGTCAGATTAAAAGAACTTTTATTTTGAAATGACAGAGAAATGTACAAAGAATATTAATTTATTTGAAGTGTGCCATCAATTAGATGCATCCGATTTGACCATGTAGATAGTCTATATACCCATGTGGTAGATAGTTGTATAGGGTGTGCCACAGCTAGATGGCAGTTATTTGTTTTGTTAATATATATATTGTTGAATTTTGTGTGTGTATTTAGTGTTTAAAGAACAAAAAATTCCATGGGCGAACCATAGCCAAAATGTTTGTATGATGTTTTATTAGCTATTTTTTGAGGATTGAACTTTGTTTTTCATGTTTTATAAACTGATGCCCATAATTACATATGCCTGTACTTAGCCCAAGAACATTTCATATTCAAGCTCTTCAAAATTAATCATTCTTTCAGGGATTTTTGTCCTTCAAATTATCATTGTCTTTTATAGCCTAGAGTGAGATTGATGCTTACTTATTGCTGTGTATTCATGAAACTTCATATAGTTCTTTTTTAAGTTGACAGTTCAAGATTTTTGATGGTTTTCCAGTGTGATTTTTTCTACATGATATAACTAATATATATATTTGGCAATATTGTGATTTATTATAGAAAAAAGTGTGTTGGGTGTGTGTGTGAGTTTTCAAACAGGATTGTTATATTTTTTGGTATTATATATTATATATATATACTTGGTTGGTTTTTTATTTATTTTTTCCTGTAAGTCACACATTATTTTGCAATCTGCGCAATTCTAGTCGAATTTTGTTGTTTAATCAGTTCACTATGGTTTAATTAGAGAAAAATGTTGCACTAATATGGGTCTTCTAAACCTTTACTTTTAATGTCTCATATTAATTTTTTTTTAAATTAAATGTAAAATGAAAGGTACATATGTGTTTCTGTTTACGTGCCTGTAGCATTCAAATTTTTGTTTACTGTTCATGTAAATTGTGCAATCAGGTAAATAATTATATCATATCTATTTTCAAGGATTTTAAATGTTATAAAAATCCTTGCTAGTTTATAACATATATCACTGGATATTTAAATTGCTAAATTTATACCAAATTTAGAATTTTTCAGCATTAAAGATTTATAAAATAACTCACTGGATATTTAGATGACTAAATTTGAAATTTTTCAGCATCAGAATTAGACCCATGTTAGTGTTCTTTGTAGGATCAGAAAGTACCATGAAAAGATTTAACATTTTATGTGTCAAGGTGTTGTAACTGTTCAGCAAGTCACATGCCTATACATATGAATAGTCCAATTTTGTCATGGAACTATTTGATAGGTTTTGATGTTTTGGTTATCTTTTGCATCGCTTTTATTTTAAAGCATACATTGTAGTACATGTACTGAATTAAATTCAATTCAAATAGTGATTTTAAACTATTAAATGTTTGTTATTTCATTTCTAGTCAAGAAACAGATGGTGTTCAGTTTTATTGAGGCATATATGTGGGATGTGTTCCTTATACAGTATAATTAAAAAAATAAAATAATTCAAAAATCTTATAAAACAAAACACAAACTTATTTACTTAGGTCATTTTGTTTTGTAGTAATTCTATGTCAGTTGACATATACGATTCTCTAATCATTTTAAATGAATATAAGTAGAAGATAAATGATACAAAAACTATAAGTAAATAATTAGACACTAAAAGAATAACTTTAAATAGATACAGTAATTGAATCACCTTTTTAAATAAATTTTAAGTTTCAAAATTTTAAAATTTTAAAACAAAATTTGTTGGGGGAAGGGGATTCTACCTATTCTTGCAGTTTTAAGTTTTGTAAAATTGAAAGGAGTTTAAACATCTACTATGTTGTCTTGTGAATTTTGTGTTACATTAGCATATGTTTGTTTGAAATTTTTCAAACTATGGTTCATGTAAAGGAGCACATCCTGTCAAGTTTTGAGAGAATTGTGTGTTCAGATATTATAAAATTTAATGTTAAAAGTTGGTTGGTTTTCTTTTTGCATATATAGCAAAAGTAACAATGAAATGATTTACAAAAAACGCTTACTTTTTTATTATAGTTACCTGCAAAAAAATTTAAGAGATTGCAAATTGTATTTGATTTGAAATTTTGGAATTTGTTGTGCAGATAAAAAAAAAAAAAGAAAATCAAACAATCCAAAACCTTTTCCTAACATTATGCAATGTTTTCTGCCTACCTCAAGTGAATATTTGTGCAATAAAATTGTTTAATTTGATGTTTATATTTTTCATTTCTTTGACCATTTGTTTAGTTTATGGTTTAATGAAGTTAAGGTATATATAGAGCCTGGTATTTTGTTAAATCAGAGCAAGTATACAACATCCTTGATCAGGGTGACTCATGATGTTCTCATTGGAAAAGTGCAATATTGGTAATTTTGAAAGGTCTCTTGCTTTTTGAAGCAAGAAATTGTACTTAGTTCATCAGTAAAAAATTAAATGCTAATTAGATCATTACAAGTATAGAGATTATGAAGCATTGATATTAGTAATATGGAGGTAATAATTGTTTTAGAAATAAGGGTTAAAAATGGTAATGATTTAGTTCACAGTTTATTTCATTTGAAACCTAGACAATGACCATGAGTCAATAAGATCTATGAATCTTAGTAAGGAGTAATAGGTCACATGAATAGATGAATTAAGACAGTTCCAACTTCCTTGTTTGTACCAAATAATATTTGCTAAAATCAGTTGTGGGGTACATATCATTGAGATAGAAACTTTACAACACAAACCAAATGATTTAAACCTGTGTTCACTTTATTTGGTTATCCATACTTCATGGAATTCTGTTTTCCAATCTGTGGGTTCAATAGTTACTGCCATATTTGTTTAAACACACTAAAACTTCATAATGCTGATTTTGCCTTCCAACTGTTTTCAATTGATGAGTTAGGCAGTTACACTATTTGTGGCATTCTCAACTCCCTTATTTAGTGGCCTAAAAAAACACATCTATATAAAGAAAGGAATTTGTGGTATGATTGCCAAGAAGAGAACTATCCACCAGAGACCAAATGATGTAATTGTTAGCAGTTATAGGTCACTGTATAGCCTTCAACAATGAGCAAAACCCATATTGCACTGCATGCTATAAAAGTTCGTGACAAGGCAAAATGTACAACAATTCAAACAAGAAAAAACCAAAGGTTGTAGTGATGTACAAAACAATAAACAAAAAATAATTATGATATACAACAGCAAAAGACAACCATTGAATTACAGGCTCCTGACTTGGGACAGCAAATACAGAATGTGGCTGGTTTAAACATATTTGCATTCCCCCAATTTACCATTAACCTGGGACAGTGGAGTAGCAACACAACAAAAGAAAAAAACTCTTAACATTTTTATATGACGGGTATACTTAAACTTGAATACACTTTCCAATATTTTACATTTAATGCTGCAAGGTTTTATCAAATCCGCCTTTTCTGACTGAAACAAGTACAGAAACGCCTGATTTCGAGCATGTCACTCCATATAAACTCGTCGTCAGTTATTTCTTTAAAAGTTCGTTTTTATTGATACGGCAAAGTTCACAGTCAATAGAATTGACTTCACTACGACTTGACGTAGTGACTGTCAATGTTTGAATCACACAATCCTTCAGAGCCATAGACAAATGGATTTTTAGAATTGACTTCACTACGACTTGACGTAGTGACTGACAATGTTTGAATCACACAATCTTTCAGAGCCATAGACAAATGGATTTTTAGAATTGACTTCACTACGACTTGAGGTTAGTGACTGACAATGTTTGAATCACACAATCCTTCAGAGCCATAGACAAATGGATTTTTAGAATTGACTTCACTACGACTTGACGTAGTGACTGACAATGTTTGAATCACACAATCCTTCAGAGCCATAGACAAGTGGATGTTTAGAATTGACTTCACTACGACTTGACGTAGTGACTGACAATATTTGAATCACACAATCCTTCAGAGCCATAGACAAGTGGGCGTTTAATGTGTAACAAGCAAATTTATTAAGGAGCCTTTTTTTGTGAAATACGGAAAACGTGAATTGCTGAATTGAACATTTACTGACCTATTCGCTTTTATGTGATATGACACAAGTATAAAATTTCGTTGTCCTAATTGAAAAAATAATTATGAATCTACTATCATGATTCAATTGTTGATTTTGAATAAAACTATTAATAATGTATGTTTTACGTTCGACTGACCGAGTGAACTTGAATTTGCTTATTTTAATGGTCCTAAGTTTCCTAACCTCAAGGATTGACTGGGGTCTTAACATTTGGTCATCCCTGGACTTCTCCTGTCCGGCAGTAAAACCCTTGTTGGAGAGGGTTTTCGTTGGATAATGCAGGATGTATAAATACGCAGCCACGTCCGGTTGGAATAATCCGATGCCAAGCTCATTGCACGTAAAAAAAAACTCTTGCAACAAACCGTTTCGGAGGGTCCGTTGGTGACCTGCTGCACGGTAAACTTAGTGCTCCTATCCAACACCCTCATTTTCCACTGACAGTCCAACATTCCCACCCCTTCATCCTGGTCGATAAACCGTGCAGAACCTCCATATTGTACTAACAATCAATCCTAATTAAGATCTTATGGGCAATCGAAAATTGGTAGAATGATACATAACGGATTCCTTATCAATCGGATTCTGCTGACTACTTAGGTTAAAATATTGGGCAAAACAGAGACATATAATGTCTCTCGGCAAAACGACCGTTAAATATTTTGGAATATCTTCAACTGAACTTAGTCCCAGTATACGACTTTACGTGCCCTTGTACAAGGATATGACAATACGTGGCAATATCATCCCGTATAGAAAGCGACGGTGTCATATTCACCTCGATATGTCTCCCAATCTTCAAACACAAGAGACTTCGCTTCTACATATCTACCAAATTTTCAATCGTTTTTTTTTTTGTATTTCTTTTCGAACGTTCGACTGTTTAAGTTAACAACAAAAGCGAAATCACATCATTATAGATAAATAAAATTACCGGGAGTAGTGATTGGGACCTCATCAGTGAAAAGTTCGAAAATTCAATTGGCCCTTCTACACCCCCTTTTACAGGTCAAGAGACTCTTTCCCCCTATTTTCATAGATTTTTTTTCTTCAACTAGCAACTATGATGGACCGTGATTTCATTTCGGACTTATAATCAAACTAATGTCATGCTTAAGTAACAACAAATTGTAATTGATTTAAAAACCCGTAATTGAATTTAAGCCTTGTCTAATTTTAAATTCAATATTTGCATAAATTTTGTGAATTTATCTTTGCTAATTACTCCGAGTCATGTTTAAGTTTGACCGTATTAAGTAAAGTCACAATACTTATTTACAAGAGGACACCACAAAATATTTTTTGCATAATTCATTTCAATTTTTCACCCAAAGTCATTTGTTTACATTTTGAAGAAAAAGACTTCACCAGGTGTTGGGAAGGAAAAAAAGAGAAACAGAGGGTCATGTCCTTTGCCAACTCAAAAAGATTAATAAAATGTGTCGCAGGATACTCTATGCATCATAACAAAGTGTCAAAAAATTAAATAAATAAATTTTCAACCGAAATTTTGATAAATGTTTAAATTTCAAGTGTGTGATTAATTTTGTTTTTATGAGGATTAATTCACATGGACCTGCTTTGTAAGTGACCTTTGGGCGTTTAATATACATGACCATAAATATTTGTAATGTACCGTTAGGACCCGAGGTTAAATTGTTTAATATTTCAATATGACCACCCCCTAAACTGTTAAATATGACCATATCAAAAGATCGTATACTTAAAAAAAATCTGGCGGCTGAAGAGGTTGATATTCCACATGAAGGTTTTTATAACAATAAACAAGTGCCTGGAGAATACATAAAGAAGTTCTGTAACTTGAAAAGTCAAGTCACTTTAAAAAACTATCAAACTCCTTGTTTAGCTATAAAATAAATTCACAATGTAATATGATGATATATCATTCAAGAGAACTTAATTTTAAACGATATTAAAAAAAAAGAACGCCCAAGAATGATGAGGTCAACTAGGAAAAAGGACGGAGGGCATTTTTATAACGATAAAATATTTAAAATTTTACATCATTAAATTTCAAGTAATCTGATCAGATAAAATGTAGTATATGAACGTAATAAGATATAGATTATCATCTTCATCTCAAGTTTGGCATAATAATAATGAAAAGAAATAATCCAAATTTTAAGTGTCATTTTTTTTTAACTTTAAGGCTTATACTCGTTGAAGTTTAAATAATGAAAAAAAAATGTTTCAATGAATGAAGCTGCGTGGTCTTTCTTGCATTATTTTAATTTTCATTCTGCTATCGAACAAATTCTGAGAAAGCCCCTGACAGACGATTCTTCACGGTTTAGACAGACGATTTTTACATTTGCAATTAAGATACGACAGACGGATATAAATTTTTCTGCAAATATACATTTAGTCGTTTTTAGTAAATCATTATATGAATTTTAAGTCAAATTGCTATGATAGAAAGTTTTGGCAAACTACAGACAAAAATTGATGAAGAAATTGGGAACTAGTATTGATTACTAATTTAGGTCTAGACGTTCTTTTTAATATTTTTTCTACTCGCAATGAAACAATTTAATTGTCGTAAAGGCACGAAAGTTTCAGAAAAGGTTACAAAGCGTGTTAGTAAAATAAATGAATTGACTACGGAAATAAGAAAGAAAATGAAAACAGAGGGATCTAAGAGATTGATGTATAATAGAGAGCTACAAATGGTTTCGGATTGAAATGGCGATGTCAAACACAGATGCCTTCTGGAACTTAAAATAAAGATTAACAGCTTTTTGTCTGTGGCCTCGTAAACATTATGTTGAAGATAACAAATTGGTACATTGTTGCTGACTCCAAGGCCTTCGCTAAGTGAAACGATACTTTTCATTGGCTGAACATTTTTTAAGTTTTGTAAAGGTAACCCGTTTAGCAAATGCTTAAAGTGAATTTATTTAATTTGATCCAGAATTAATTTCTGTGAGTAATATTCTGGTTATTACTGTTAAGTGTTGTATTTTCGCAGAGAGTAGAGAGAGTAGTATATAATGGCAAGTAGCACCGAATGCATTTAGTTTGTTCAATGGTTGAACTATTGGCGCAGTTGTACGGCCGATCTTATAACAAACGTTTAGCTGCCTGTTGCTAGAAGTCAACTCAATATTCAGCTGCATGTCTACTTTTATGC